TTAGTAATTTGTTACTTTTGGATTTAGCATCCACTTCCTATCGCTACGTTCAGAGGGTCACTAGTTTTCAGAGGGTCATTTTCAGAGGGTCTTTTCCAAGTGTCCATAGATGAAGCCGACTAGGAGTATTGCTACTCCCCCTGGATGGGGATGCTAGTCCATCACAGGTTATTACTCCCCAGCATTTCGTCGCCGGTACCCATTTATACTCCTGGGTGAAGAGAGAGAGGCACTGTGAGAGTTAAGTTTCTTGCCAAGAACACAACACAGTGATTTTGGCCAGCACTCAATCGAACCTGGACCACTCGATCTGGAGTCCAACGTGCTAACCATTGGGCAACCGCGTCTCCCATTGCGTTGTCTTTCAGCCCAAATCTCTGATGCCTTGAAACTCAAAGAGTAAAAAAGGAATAACTTTCCATTCTTTGTTACCTTACAAATTCACCATTTCGTTGTCCAACAGGCACTGGAGGTATAACGCTTTGATATACACGCTTTAAATCTTGATCATAACTTGAATCCACAGAAGCTGGCCGCCCATTCTCAAGTCTGGGAAGATGCCGTGGACTATGCGGTTTCCGTGACGACACAAATTTCTCTGCTTTATAGGATTCTGCAGACCATGAACGATTTATGTGGGACTTGTCTAGCATGGACCAATCCCTGCTCTTTTCTTTGTCTCTCAGCCTAGTACAGAATTTATATCAGTGATATCTTGCAACTTTGTTCTTGGATGATGGTGAGCATGACTACATGTACGTTTTGTTGTTAATATTTATTAAATCAAACTATGATTGAAATTCAATCATAGCTTGCTTTCATTATCAAAGCTACTGAGTAAAACAGACTTAACTACAGGTATCTTCCATACTTTTTTACCCATCACTTAACCATCGAATAAGCAAAATTCATGATCATAACACACTTACCTCTCAAGTACATGCTTTCGAGGATTATTGTTATTAAATGCTGACATACTTTGGATGGTCGAGTTGTCTAGGAAACATTGTTCTTGCTGCAGTTAAACACGCATTAAAATCTCATTTCTCACCAAGTATTCGCTTGCTTTGGTTAAACAGATGAAAGCCCTACACTATGATATAGCTTTTCTTGGACAGACATTTTGAAAAAGACGTCGAAATATTGAAAGTTTACACTTGTTTTTGAAAGTTTCCCCGTCGGCCATCTTGAAAGTTGTGCTTTGCCCCAGGTCCCGATGCGCGGACAAAAGAGACCACAGGAAGCCCAACGAGTAACTGTGTCACTATAAACTTACATGGTCCTAAGACAGTTGAAAACACGACACCAGAAAGCTGAACAAATACCACCCGGGGATGCCATAATTAGTAATGGTACGGCATTTATATAGCGCATCTTCTATATGTACATGTTCAAATGCGCGTTTACAATTTATTTTAACTCAGGCCCAGTTCAGACGCCGTACTTCACATGAGCCGAATCGAATTCGAATTTAGGCCGACCCAAATTAATTTAGATCGACTGAATTGATTCACACGCCGAGCTTAATTCAGCCGAACTTAAATTAATAGGGGAAAATTGCTGTTATACTGAAAAATACATTATAATAATTCATGCATTTTTTTCGGCTCATGTGAAGTTCGGCGTCTGAATCAAAGCCGGTCCACAGCCGTTATTCCCGGCTGAGCCAGGCGGGAAGAACGGCTGAGCCGATCCGAATTCATTCAGCCGTTCTGAATTGATTCAGACGCCGTACCTCACATGAACTTAATTCATCGAATTCGATTCGGCTCATGTGAAGCACGGCGTCTGAACTGGACCTCAGAGATCGGACTTCAGCCGCTATCAGTCCATTCATGATTCTCATCCCACCCGCCCACAACACGGGGGTTGAATCCCAGCCGGACCACCAACCAGGAGGTCTTTAGTAAGATCATACTAGCTGTGCCGCGTCATTCGGTGGTGACGGCCGTTGGCCTTGTCTCCTACATCTCAACTAAATTAGTACCTTTTTGACACAATATTCGTGTTAAAAGTAACTAAATTTCGCGAAAATTGTCCAAATGTTGATCCGCTAAACAAACAGGTAGTCTCCGAATCAGCGAAATACATGCTACGACAAGGAATAAAGCAAAAACAGCTTCTTGTTGCCAATTGACCTGAATTTACAAGGAGCCAGGTAGAAATGGTGTGTTTGAACGACTGCCAGGATGTGTTGCAAGAACTGCAGAAATTGAAGATTAGGACAGTGATTCTAAGGAAGAGAGTATGAACACGGAACCTAATGCAGGACGAGGACAAAGGACACATTATTGCTGCCGCTGTGAGTGAGCCTGAAGCGAACGAACAAGGCAGCAGACCTAATCGGCAAAAAATTACAATATAGGGCCTTGAAACCAAATTTTTCTAAGACCGCATGGAATTGTGGTTATGCGCGAATGGAACAAAGTAAGATGCGCAGTTCCACGTGCTCTCTCTTTCTCGACAGCTAGGCTCAGACCGCATGGAATTGTGGTTATGCGCGAATGGAACAAAGTAAGATGCGTAGTTCCACGTGCTCTCTCTTTCTCGACAGCTAGGCTCACAGGTGAGTTATTTCGTTGCTCCGGTTTTTTGCTGCTACGCGCTACCCGTCTAAGACATTTAAGTCAAAATCATACCCTGCGTATATATTCCCCGTTTAAGACCAAAAAAATCGTAAAAAATATATAACCCGTTCAAGACAAAAAGAAGACAGAAAAAAATAATAATTATTGGGGAGTCTCACCCCCGTGGGGAAAGGTTTCAAAAGAAGATCACTGACAGAGAAACCTGGAGGCGGTGAAACGTGAGAGTTCGCGATAATAATCAATAATCGACAACTGAAAGTTCGACGAGGTCGAACACAGGCTGCTCTATTAAACGAAAGCTGCACACTTCGCCAGTGGCTGTTGGAGTTAACGTAGCAGATAATTATTCTTTTGCATTGGAGCCAGTGCAAAAAGGTCGTCCTGGAGTACGAGTCAGTAGCGGCAACAGCGACACTCGTTGTCAAGGTGTTGACGTGAATGCAATTAAGCCACTAATTTAATGCGATCAAAAGATATACGGTCGAGTATTTTTGGCTCCAACAACTCAATGAGTCATGCGATCAAAATATATTCTTTCGTGTTTTTTTCTCTTGGCAACGTAAAAATAGTCAATATAAGATTAAACATCAACGAGAAGGCCTCGTACAAACCTCTAATTTTCCTACCCTGTTTTATCAGACAGAATTACGATTTTGAGAACCCGTCTAAGACATTTAAGTCAAAATCATACCCTGCGTATATATTCCCAGTTTAAGACAAAAAAAAATCGTAAAATATATAACCCGTTCAAGACAAAAAGAAGACAGAAAAAAATAATAATTATTGGGAGTCTCACCCCCGTGGGAAAGGTTTCAAAAGAAGATCACTGACAGAGAAACCTGGAGGCGGTGAAACGTGAGCGTTCGCGATAATAATCAATAATCGACAACTGAAAGTTCGACGAGGTCGAACACAGGCTGCTCTATTAAACGACAGCTGCACACTTCGCCAGTGGCTGTTGGAGTTAACGTAGCAGATAATTATTCTTTTGCATTGGAGCCAGTGCAAAAAGTCGTCCTGGAGTACGAGTCAGTAGCGGCAACAGCGACACTCGTTGTCAAGGTGTTGACGTGAATGCAATTAAGCCACTAATTTAATGCGATCAAAAGATATACGGTCGAGTATTTTTGGCTCCAAACAACTCAATGTGAGTCATGCGATCAAAATATATTCTTTCGTGTTTTTTTCTCTTGGCAACGTAAAAATCGTCAATATAAGATTAAACATCAACGAGAAGGCCTTGCTTGTTGAGAATGTAAGCAACGGCTTTTGTTGTTCGTTAACTCGTTGGGTGCTCCATAAGGATCGCCGGAGTTGCAGATGTTTTATGAAGAGCTTGTTTACATGGGGCCGGATTGCTCTTTGTAAAACTCTAAGAAACAGATTTCTAAGGAGTATCATTAAAGTGAGCGTATACCTTCACTTAACTGATAACGACATTTTTGAGACTTAGGTTACACAATTAACATATAGTAATAAACCAGCGTCATGTGTAAACCAGCGTCATGTGCTGTGCACTCAGTGAATGAAGAAGCTAGCTTCCGAAGTGAATGAAGAAGCTTCCGAAGGAGTAATATTGAATCTGCTCGCTGATCTTGCTGTTTGGTAAGTTTTGTTGCGTTCAGTGGTTATAGTTCATCCGAAGAAATAAATTATATTTCCATTCAAACTTCTACTTATGCGCATACTGTTACATTTTCCTTTCCCCCGGCAGCATTTTCTACCTATCAGGTATACTAGTAATCATGTAAACTGAAGTTAAAGTTAATAAAAGAGTTTCAAGCGGGGTATTATATTTCGCGATAACTTATTTTCGCGGGTCTTTAATTTCGCGATTTTTTTGCAATCGCGAAAATTAAGTCCCGCGAAAATAAGTAACAATAAGGTAGGGGATGTTAAGAACCCACATCACTGTTGGAAAAGAGTATATATACAGCTGTTTCGAGAAAGGTTGTCGGAAAAAGCGCACGCGACAATCCCGAAAGGTAATCTGGGATATGATCAGCAAGGTACGTTCCTGACACTGTAGCTGTCGAACCTACTTTTGTTGCTTTCTTTTAGCACTCGCAAACATACGTCCATGGCGTCTCGTGCCATTTTCTCAGATTTCCTGAAATGCTGAAGTCAAGAAACGGTGAATTTAAAATTATCCACAATACCTTTCGGGATTGTCGTGTGCGCTTTTTTCCGACAACCTTTCTCGAAACAGCTGTAAAGGGAACGCAATGCTCCAACAAGCTATTAGTCTCCTGAGAGAGATATTATTCTGTCAGTGACACAAGCTACTCGGAAAAAAATTCCGAGTTCCCCCAACAGGAGTCGAACCTATGACCTTCCGCACACTGGTCGGACGCTCTACCACTGAGCTACAGGAGACTCGTGGGAGCTAAGGCCATATAACTAGGTTATAAGTCTCCTGTAGCTCAGTGGTAGAGCGTCCGTACGGTGTGTTGAAGGTCATAAGTTATATGTTCGACTCCTGTTGGGAGAGAACTCGGAAATGTGTTTTCCGACCAGTTTGCATCTCATATCTTTCTCGCTCTTACAAAACGTTGTTTCTCCCTCAACTACCATTAGACAGAAAACAAAGATATGGTTCGTTGAAGGAAACAACAAGCCGTAGCTATTCAATTTATGGAAACTTTAATGCAGTAGACTATCAATGACTGAAGATATAATTTTTTACACTAATTTTTTTTTCTATTCTAGTGTACCCAAGTTAAAACCCATTTAGAAATGAAATTTAAATAACCCATCTTGTATAATTTTATGTCATACATTTGGAAAACGAACGAATGGTTAACAGGCGTCTCTATTCACGGGCTCAATTCTTCTCCGTACTGATGACGTAACTCTAATGAAGATCCTTGTAGTGTCTCTGATTGGTTGTTGCTCGATTTTGAATTTTCGTGCGCAAGAAACAACCAATCAGAGACACTGCGCGGATCTCTGGAGAGCTACGTCATCAATATGGAATTTTAAATTTAACTCACCTACACTTTTTCTACTTACGACAAGTCAAATAAATACGTCTAGCAGTTTTAACAAACATGATGTACGTAACCAGTTTCTACAAGAAATTGTAATAACCGTTGAATATAACATTTCCAAAAAATTATGTTTATATATGGGTATACATATACATTTTTTTTTAATTAAAGTAAGTATTCATTGAATTCAAGTAAAACTAACGTCTCTCCTTGATCCGGACGATTACATCCCATTTAACAAATGCAGTAAAATAATTATGCTTACATCATGAGCATTGTTCATTAAATTACTTTGAAAATATAATAGCGTGATAATTTATTTCTATCTTTCGTGTGCTAGTCAATCCCGAGTTTAAACCAGAGACACACTAGGCGAAGATCGCAAGTGAATTTTGTCAATATCTGACATGCCAGATACCGTAAAAGCTCTATTAAGCCGCAGGGGGCTTATTTAATTTCTGGCCTTGAGAAGAGGGGGGAGGGGGAGGGGGGGGGGGGGACTTTTTAGAGAGGGGATTATTTCAAATCCCAAATAATTTTCTTACAAAAAACAAATTAATTACACTACCATTGAGTCTGTGGATGAAAACCAAGTGTGGTACCATTCAAATGAAAGCTGTTGAGCAGTACTTTCGTGTGGTACTGTTTATTATGCTGAACAAGGTGGTTCTAACTTTTAAGTCTGTGGATGAAACCCTAGTGTGTGACCATTCAAATGAAAGCCATTGAGTAGTACCTTCTTGTGGTGCTGTTTGTTTTTGACAATTTTGAGAAATGAAATTCAAGATTTTTATCTCAGTTTTGAACTTAGCACTCTTGGGAGTGAAAGGGTTAAAAACAAAATCTGACGTCTGAAGGGGGGCTTATTAGAGAGGGGGGCTTACTTAACAGAACTTTTACGGTATCGGCGATTTCGAATCGTTGGTGAAAATCACTGTCACAGTAGCGGGAATTGCTGCGACGAGCCTACTAAATCACTTAGTGTGTCACCGGCTTTAGGACCACTTTCTGTTGCGCGAAGAGTTGAGAGTGCACTGGAAACACGTATGAATGTACATTACGAATGTAACCGTGTTATGGGCGTTAACACGTGTTATGGGCGTGGTTTAAACACGTGCAGCTGTGCAGATCGTGCTCAGTTCCTCCATCAAAGTCTCGTGACGGAACGCCATTCGGATATCCGGGACATTGGTCCTGTGTACGTCATTTCCTGCAGCTCCTTCCTTCATGTAATTGTCACCAATCCAGTGACGTTTCACCTGAAACATATTAGACACACATTTGCTTCCTTGCTTCGTAATTTATAAACGCATTTTATAACTTGGAAAGATACGGTCCTCATTTGATTGTGAACCAGCATCGGGAGATATTCCCGAATTAACAGACGCAAACAGATCAGAATCTCAAGTCAAAAAAAGTAAAACCCAGTCAAAAGGATCAGCATCTTTTCAACAAACTTCATTATTCAGTATAAATAAACCCAGATCGTTATTATTTATCTGGATAACTGAGTTGCTACACCATTGATCATTATCAGAGCTACATCACAAAATCTACTTTAAAAATGTCCGAAATATTTCTATAAACAAAACGTAATATCATCAAATGGCGGGGGCAGATATAGTGAGAACTATTACGTTTATGATAACGTAACCGTTAAACATAAAAAAAACGTTTTGATAATTTTCCATAAACAAAATTACTACAGCTTTTTACTTCTTACTTGAGCCATAATACTTCAAAACAAGAAATGAAAAGTCCCAGCCACTGCATTTTTGACCTCCTATTTGCGGACACTTCTTGTAAGCAGACAGTTAGTCATGTTCCCAGCCACATAGAAACACTACATTTTTACCCTCTCATAAGCGGACACCTCTTGTAAGTGGACACTTAGTCATGGTCTCAGCCACATACAAACACTACATTTTTAACCTCACATAAGTGGACGCTTTTTCTGGTCTGTATTACCTTGTCCTCAAAGCCACTCATAAGCACACTGTTTCTGGCCAGCTCTGACATGTCACATGGACTGAGTTTCCACACCTGAGCTGCGATACTGTACTCCTCCATCAGAGGTTCCTGTTGATGTTAAACACTGATCAACATCTTAAATCTCCTAACAATATCGATACAATGTCAAGCAGACAGGTGATGAGAATAAAGAAAATAATCAATTAGGGGATATTGTGTTGATGTACAATGATATTCTCATAACTAACATTAAAATATATGTAATAAAAAACAATCAGTGAGGAGAGTTCATATTTTGAGCTAGCGACTTGAAGGTTTATATTTTTATTATTATTTCAGAGAGCCTAGTGGCCCACAACTGCCGTAGCTTATCCCGGTTTCTAGGAGTATTGCTACTCCACCTGGAGGGATGCTATTCTATCACATGGGGGGCAGGGGACGGAACCCAGGATTGGGGGGGCAGGGGGACGGAACCCAGGATTAAAGGGGGGGGGGGAGTCTACAGGACGCTAGAGAAAGAGGACGGGAAGCAGGAGAAATAGGAAAAAAAGTTGCAATATTTTGCAATAGAAAAAGCAAAGAGCGGAACAACCACCCTCCCCCCCCCCCCCCCCCACCACCACTATCACAGGTGACACCCCAGCATTTTTTCAGGTTGTTCTAGCAATTCACAAGTACCCATTTTCCTGGGCGGGGAAGGGCACTGTGGAAGTAAAGTGACATCCTGGCCGACCAGAGCTCAAACCCAGACCAGACCAGAATGTTCTATCCAGAGCCCAGCACATTAAACCATTAGGCCACTGGGGAACCAGAAAGAAGACCCAATATTTCTTGTTTATGATGATGCTGTAAATTTTAAAAACTTGCCTTGGTAAAATGGAACATAAGTGGGTCATCCGTCGACAAAGACACCACCATACCACGGGCCAGGAAATCTGGCAGAGGGTTCCTCTGGTAGTTAAGGAAAAGGGAGTTGTTGCTAAGGGGTGACATGGCGATGCCAATTTGGGCCAAGTAGTAGAGGTACTGCAGGCTGGCACCTGTCAATCAAATGGTCAAAATGCACGTTGATCATCTTCATATACAATACAATAATTTGATAGCGACTGTGCCATTTAGTAACTATAGCAAATACATTTTACCACTATACCTCACCCTCAAATACGGTACTAAGATATTGTAGTTTTCTAAGGAACTATTGGAAGCAAGAGTTCCTATTATATGCAGAATTTTTCTATGTTTAAGAAAGTGCTTGTCAGGGAAAGCAATGAACACAACATCGTTTGAAGTTATGCTAAAGAGGAAATTGGCTTTCCGGAGTACAATGAAAATCTTTGTTACCCTGGTGGGGTTTAAACACGACTTCCGATCAGAACGACGTTGCTCTTTCAACTGAGCTTTGAGGCCATGTTGCATTATTAAATGCATTTACTTTTAAGTGCGGAACTAACCAACCTTTCTAAGAAGAAGACCATGATTAATGTTCTCAGCCAACATAAAAGCTGACACCAAATGATGGGCGGGACCAGCCTCGCCACAATGAGGTCGTAATGCAAATGTGTTAAAACCACGCTCTCTGTGGAGAACAAACAACCATGTCAGTTAAACACCTACTGTCAAAAGTACTACAGTCAAACCTCCGCTAACGGATACCTCCCGTAGGCAGACACCTCTCGTAAGCGGACACTTGGTCATGTACCCAGCTACATACAAACACTACATTTTTAACCTCCCATAAGCGGACACCTCTCTTAAGCAGACACTTTTTCTGGTCCTGAGGGTGTCCACTTATGGGAGATTTGACTGTAATTGTGCTTGTCTTATTGCTTTAGTGCGCTGGACTCCGGATAAAGAGGTCTGGGTACGAGTCTGGCTGTGGCTCATTGTGTTGTGTCCTTGAAGGAGTTGAGCAACGTATTTGCTTTTGAAAACAATTAACTTTACAGACGCGAGTGGAGGAGGACATGAGTGGGGTGTGAACCTGGGAGTTAAGGGGGTGGGAAGTCTGCGGGAGACAGGAGAAAAGGGGGCTGGAAATGGGATTCCCAAGGTGGCGGGAACCGAGAGAAATAGGATTTCTTGGCAAAATTGCAAAGGCAGTAGCCACAACAGAAGGAACGAGAACCAGGAGTACATGGTATGGGAAGCAGAAAGTTCAGACCCCCCCCCCCCCCATCCCCCCCCCCCCCCATTGTGAACTACAGAGCAAAATGACCTACTGTCTTAAGTGATTGAGGACCACCATGTTGGAGTACATGTAATAGAGATAATAAGAGTAGGGTGGGTTGTCATTGGTGTCCCAATCCACAGGCAACGGACTCCTTGTTGTAAACAAGTGGCTCTCAGCTTTGCTCTCGTCGTCCACACTGTCGAAACCAGCAAGCTGTTGAACAAGGTAACATAAACAGGTTAGTACAAGAAAATCAGGCCGAGAAAATCAGGCTCCAACAGATTTGAGCCTACAACCTTTGCAATTCTGGTCAATCTGGTGTAAATTACCCTCTATCATTGAACTAAGGTGCCACCAACT